GAATCTAAATTTAAAGACAGCATAGCCCAATCTACACCTGTGGAGCCTAATCCCCTGGAACCTCTTTCTACAGTACGACTGGAAAATTTATCATGTAGGCTGGGTATTATTAATAACTGTGCTATTCTATCTCCTGGTGAAATTACTGATATACCTCTTGGAGAACTAGCTATAATTTTTATTTCACCTTCATAATCAGGATCAATTACCCCAGGACTTATCATAAGTCCTTTTAGTGTAGAAGAACTGCGTCCCAATAATAAGCCTACTGTTCCATGGGGAAGAGGTCCTTTTACTCCTGTGGGAATGATTTGAACTCCCATCTCTGGAGTTTGTACTGCTCTGGCAGAGGTGCAGATGTCCAACCCTGCGTTCCCTCTAGTTTGTCTGATGAGGGATTTAATGGATAATGTGTCCTGGGCATTACCTTGATGGTGCTGCTGGGTTCCTCCATTGCCCTGTATATTTGTGGTTGTGGGCCCCGGAGCATTGGGCCCCCCAGTCCGTTTTTTGGCAATGGAGCCTGATGCCTTTCTCCACGATATCATGGGTAAACACTTGGTCCTTGTCCGTTTTTTGATAACGGAATACCCTCTATGGTGGTTTGAGAACGGCATTCATTAGCCCAATGTTTCCCTCTACGGCATCGTGGGCAAATACCCGGTATTCTATTCCTTTGATACCTAGCTTTGTTAAACCCTCCTCCTATGGGGCAACTCCTTTTAAAATGTCCTGTTTGATCACAATTATAGCATGTTTTTGGCCTGGCATCTAAAGCCTGTTGTACTGCTGCCAAGACTTGCCCTTGTTCATTAATGTCTCTACATAATTTAATATATGTGTTTAAATCTTCATGTCTCCATGGTCTAATGACCTCTCTGCAGCAACGATTTGCTTGGTCAGAAGCCAGTTGTTTTATAAATGGCATTGCCTGTTCTGTATCCCCAAATATTCTAGAAGCTGTTTGAATAAGCCTATCTACAAATTCAGCGTAAGGTTCATTAGTTCCTTGTATTACCTTAGATAATTGTCCTTGTAAATCTCCATGGCCTTGTAAAGTTTTCCATGCCCTAACCGCATCTACAGCAATTTGTGCATATACACCAGGATCATATTCAATTTGTTGACGTTGACCCTCATAAGGTCCTTTTCCTAACAACATTTCTAGATTTCTTTGAGGGTAACCGGCTGCTGCATTTCGCTTAGCTGTCTCCGTGCAAAATTCCTCATTGGCAACCTTCCATAACAAATATTGTCCTCCATTTAGCACAGATCGACACATGTTAGCCCAATCTTCTGGTGTCATGTCCAAGTTGATAATAGATTCGACCATACTTATGGTAAAGGGTGCTTGCGGGCCGTAGGTTTTTACAGCCTCCTTTAATTGCTTCACTGTTTTAAAATCTAAAGCACGGTGAATTCGTTGCCCTTCTGCCTGCTCAAGTACAGGGCATGATAATCTTTGAGGTCCTGCCTCAGGATTCCATCCATCAACTACGGGAGTTGAGGGCCGCTCAGCTGTAGATGGAGCTGTTGGTTCAATTACGCCCTCTGGTGATAGAATGGAGTTAGTAGCAGCCTCCTGTTGTAACTCCCCCCTTGATGGTTGTTTTTCCTCTAAGCTTTCTTCCTTTAAATTTTCCTCTGTCTGACTAGCTCGAGAGACCTTCTCTTTTGCTTGACCTAACATGTTTTCTACCATAGTCTGGACCTCTAACAATTTACTTAACAGTCTTTCGGTTTGTTTTTTACTAGTTTCTAATCTACTATAAAGGTAACACAACCCAATAAGATAGCATAAAACAAAACCGAAACAGAATGAAACAAAAACGGAACAAAAAATCGTTGTATCAATTTTCTCTTTCTCAGGGCCGAACAACTTCAAACCTTGAGCCAACCATTTTTCCCAGTTTGCCTGAGAAAATTCTAGGGATAGGCAGCTTGAAACAAAAACAAAATAAATCAAAACAAGAACACATTGTTTTTTGAAATGGTCACCCATTCTCTCGCCTTCCCTCAGGGGCAAGCAATTTTACTCACCTCCAAGCTTCAGGCGTCCCCGCACAGGCCACCAATTGCCGCAGTCTGGCTGGGCACAAAATCACGAGCCACTTAAGCAGGAACAAACTTTATTTTTGAAACTGCCGCCAATGCCCCGTACGCTCCCAGGAAGATTGCCGCACTTCCCCAACCAATGGGAACTCTCCAGGAGTCCCATAGCAGGCTGAGGTGAACAGCAGGAGTCCAATATCCATATGAATGCAAATCTTAACATAATCATATCATCTCAATGGCTTGCTGGCATCACCTTTCAACCAAAAATGCCATGCATCATATTACTTGGCTGTGGCTTTTAGTAATTCTATAGTAAACTCAATAGTTTTAATTAAAAGGGAGCCAAGCATGGAAGCAATAAACAAGTTTAAAGCATAATACCTACTATGTCATTTAAGCTTTTGAATCTACCAAGAGCAGAAAACCATAGCAAGCAAAGGCTGTAGCAGTTTGATTAGTAATATTTTCCAGTACAATTTGAGAGTAATCCAGTTTAGCATATAAATTAGACCTTTATAGGCTATAGCTATAGATTGTCATTTCCTGTCCCTTAGTTGCCTTATTAGCCTCTAATGCCAGAAGAGCTATGGCTGCAAGGGCCCATATACAAGGTGACTAGTCTTGAACCATAGAATCCAGCTATTTAGAAAGATAGGCCCCTAGATGGTGCCATGTCCCCAGCAACTGAGTTAGGACTCCTACAACTATTCTAGACCATGGATGGACATACAGAGGAAAAAAAGTTTTCTGAGGTCAAGGACAGTCCTAGTTCAGGTGCACTGGTGAGTGCTTGTTCAATGCCCTAAAAGGCTTTTTTGTTTTGTTTTGTTTTTGTTTTTCCACATCAGAGGATCCTGCCCCCCACCCCCCATTTGTGGCCTGATAGAGGGGTTTGACCATAACCAAAAAGTTAGGGATTCATATCTGTCTGAATTCAGCAGCACATAGGAACTTTTTGAAGGGAATGGAATTGAACACACTGTTCCCTCTGGCATCCCAGTTGACATTGTCTCTGAGTCTGATAAAAACCAAGGTACTTAACTTTTCTTTGATAGAGTGGACTTTCTTCCTTTTGAGATTTTGTAGCCAGTTTTACATAGGAGAATGAGTTGTGTCTATTTCATGCAGTTTTCTCAGGTTGCCAGCAACAGATCAATGGGAATGCATATCAGAGGTCAGCATCCATATTGTTTTGCAGGAAAGGCTCTTAAAAAGCCCTGTGGCTGCCTGGTTCAGATCAACTGTCCTTCAGCTGGGGACACTGTTTCTTCCAATGGCCCTCTAGAAGGCAGAAGGCACATCAGCTTAGTTTCAGCCTTTTCCTGGGATAAGGTTGTCCTCCCATTTATGTTTCTTCAGCCCTACATCTGGACTTAATTTTAATACTTGTTTTGGCCTTGTCTTAGTGGGACCCCCCTTTGAGTGACCTCTGGGTTTGCAGTGAGGGTAGCTGCAAGGAGACTCATCTTTCTTCATCTTTTGGTCTGACTCTTGGTCTCAGTTGATGAAAACTGTGGTAGCCATTTTAATCAACTCACTGGTAATTTTTTTTTTTTTTTTTAGCAAAGTCCTGCAAAGTTTTAGGAGTTTTCTGTGAATGTCTCTCTGGGTTTATTTTACCTACTGTTGCCTGGTGTCTTCAGGAGTGAAGAGTTGGAAAGTCTCACATAGTCATTCATAGAACTGGCTGGGCCTTTCATCAGGCTTTTGGAGTACTTCTGATATCTTGTTCATGTTAAAGCCTCTCCTTCTCCCTTCTTTCAGGCTACCTATTAGGGCCTTTTGATGTTTATCTATAAGAGGTCCTCCACTTTGTTGGGGTCCCACCCTGGCTCTGTGTTGGAAAACTGGGACTGGATATAGGCTTGGATGTTGCCTTGTGTGTCCATAGCGTGTTCCTCTAGCCACTTTAAAGCTGCTTGGTCACCTTGTTTGCATTCCTCTGTCAATCTAGATGGGTTGGTGTATCTGCATATTAGACTGCATCAGCTCAATCATGGCGTAGAGTGTCTGTGTGTAGGAGGAAGTATGATTTTTCCAGTTCAAGAGATCAATGGTGGTGAAAGGCTGGCATACACAAAGGCTCACGGGGAAAAACTGGTTTCCTTTATGTCTTGTCTTTGTCAGGTTTTTCTTCTGTTTAGTTTCCTTTAGGTGGGTCTTAGAGGCTATACAGTCTAAAATAACATCAACTTGGACTGTCCTTCCAGACAGGCTCTCAACCAAGAGGGCTGTTTCTGTACTATCTTTTGCCAGCAATCAATATAAGGGAATTGGCCTGGGTGTCCAGGGGTTCTGATAACTATTAAAAGGACCTCGCCAATGACACTTTTGTCTAAAGATCCTTCTGGTGGCCATCCTACCTACTTGGCCATTCTAATTCACAGAGAATTAGAGAATTTTGTGGAGTGAGTTTCACTGCATAGTAACCATTAAAATATTAAAGTTTTCTAACATACATTTTAAAAGACTTAGTTTACTTTCTGTGCTTCCCATGTTCTACCCTCTGTTGGTATTACACAAAGGACAAGACTTGTTTCATTTATCTCCAGGTATTCCCTTTTCGGGGACTTATGGTCTTGTTAGCCTTTCAGGTCAGTATCAGCCCCTGATCTGGAGCTTCTACCTAGATCTTGGTTGGTGGAATTCTGCCTCAAAGTGTATGAGGTACACAGAGTGGTAGGTTGGGAAAAAAACTTGCTTTGGCTCTTGAGTAGGGTCAGAACCCCTCTGCTCTATCTCATTCACATACTTTCATACAGATATGTTTAGAATGAAATATCTGTACTGCCCCAATTCCACAAATTCTAAAACCAAAGGAGTCAGTTTCCCCTCTGCTTACTGACCCTGAACAGAGACTACTTGGGTGACTCCCCAGGTCTTTTTTGAACTCCTTATTCATAGTCAAATGGTCCATCAGGTAAGCCATTGAAGGAACAGCAGCATACATTGGGGAACCACTTTATTGAGCTCAAAACAGTACACTATCACCCTCCAGGATTCATCTAGTTTCTTTACTGGTCTCATTAAGGAGTTGAAAGGACTATAGGTGGGTCATATCATGCCCACTTTTTCCAGTTCCATGACAGTCACAGTTATCTCTTCTTGCCCTCCAGAAAGTTTATATTGTTTGGTATTGGTGATATACTCTAGTGGTGGCGGCAACCTTAAACTCTCTGTAGCTAATTTTTCTGATAGTAACCTGTGTCCCTTCATGCTTAGAATATTTACTTATTTGTTTAATTCTCTTGTGTGTTAAATAGCTTTGCATCACTGAGCAAAAAAGTACAAATAATGGATATATACAGCTTATTATTGGGATATCTGGCAAATTCTGAACAAGCTTTGTAGATTAAATATTAATACTGAATCAATTTTAATCTCCTGACTTTGATTGTTATACTATAGTTGCATAAAATAATTCCATGAGGAAAGAACAATTAATTAGTGCTTAAAATAAAATAATGCAATAAAATTAAAATTATATAAGTTTGATGGCAGTGTAACTATTGTACTACATTAAAACACTGACAAGGGCTACAGTATCATTATACCAAAATGATGTTTAAATTTATAGACATATATACTAATAAAAATTGAAAAGTACAAATAAGCTATCACTAAAATGATATTTCATTCTACCAAAGTATTAGTGACAAGACGATTGTTTGGGTACTGTTTAAATAGCTGGCATTTTGAGAATTTGAGTATGCAAAAGTCAATAACACTAGTTTTCACTCGCAAAATCCATTTAAAAGTTAGTTACAGATGCCAAGAAACAGCTTAAAGTATTATATATTATTTCATCATACATATATGATAGCCAAAAATATTTTACTTCAAAATTTTCATATCATACATGTCTGGGAAACCATGTTAACTGTTATATAAACAGTCTAATAGATGACATTCAGATCATGTATTTTTTCTTTAAAATCTCTACATATTCTTGTGATGCTTCTGAAAGTAGATCTTGACTTGACTTATGAGTAGATCCTAGGGGAGAAGCTCTAAGGGACCCAGATTCAAGTTCATCAGCCACTGGAGAGAAAAAGAAAGAACTATATTATCATAATTATATTGTTTATTTAAATAATATTATCATAATTATATTGTTTATTTAAACAATATAAAATTAAAATTGAGAATTTTATCAGTGTTAATAAGAATGAAAAATATGTATGTATATTTATAATTCAGATCACTATTAAATATAATTTGTTCATTGCTGCACACTGAATATCATTATAGCTGGGTATCAGAGTTCTGGTTTTCCCAGTCATCAGTTCAACCACTATGTTCTAAGGTACTATGATAAGCACTGGAATGACAAGATGATACAGTTCACCACAACAATCATATACCACAACCTGAAAACACAAATGGACAGGCATATGCTATAGAATCACGTATCAAATAGGGCACTACTGAAACACACAGAAGGGATTTGTATTCCAGTTTGTATCAGTATTGTAGGCTTTTTGGAGGTGATATGTAATTTGATACCCAAAGGATAAGGACAAAGTATGACAGAAAGAGGAAAGAAGTACATGCAAACAGCTAGAAGTAATGAAGAACACTTGTGGAATTATAAGTGGTTCAGTGTGGCTAGAGTCTAGAGCCAAGAAGCAGAGCACACTAAGTGATAAAAGAGATAAAACTGAATAAAGAAAATGCCAAGAATCAAATTGGTTTGGGTATTTTTAGTTCATGCTAAGGAATTTGGAATTTTCCTTAGGGCAAAGCATAAAGCAATGACTAAGTAAGTGACAGGAGATTTAAAATGAGACTTATCATGTGATAGTTAATGAACTACAATTGCTTGACTAAGTGTTACTTAGATGAGGCCAGGATTTTGTTACAAACCTGTTCTTTTATAAGAACAATTTCAGTGTGCAGATTGACAGTTTCATAAGTTTCATAGGGATGGCAGAAGTGAAGAAGAAAGTGTTGAGCAAAAAAGAGTTACATGAACTTGTTGAAAATTTTAAAAGCTATGGAACACAAATAAGTGAGGAATAAGTATATTCTTCATTAGCAATGTCTACAATTTACATCTTTCACTCAAAGTATATTAGAAAATAATATTTAATGTAGAATCTATTAAACAAAGGAAAGGGATGCCATTTGCAATTTATAGTTTATTTCATAAATAAATTAATCTAAATGAAATGAATTTTGTCCACATACCTTCTTTTAGTTCTCTAGTTATACTTTTTTCCAACTTCTGCTGCATCTGAAATAAGTTAAACAGTATTTATAATGTTTAAGCTAAATAGGAGACATTATTATGAGAATGTTATATCACTTAGAAACATGTGGCCTAATTTAAATAAGGCTTTTAGAAACTAGATCTAACTTGAGAATTACTTTACAAAAATTACAAATTAAACAAAATTCCTATTTTCAGTATTAAGTAATAGAGAATTTATATGTACAATTTATATGTATTTAATCTGATGAAAAATATAAATAATATTGGCCAATTAAGTATATATATATATCATTTAAGAAGGATGTTTTTTTTTCCAAAAAAATTTACCCATTTTATTTATACACTGCAATCGCTCTACAATTTATGATATTATATAGAAAAAACTGAAAATACACATTATTTTGTAAAACCAAAGACAAACACTGAACCCAAAGATAAACTTTTTACACAAGAGACTCTTTTCCTGAATTAGTATTGAATCTTAAATATCTATTTCTTTTGTTAAAATGATTATTTTACATATTCCCTAAGTACATCTGCATTACAAACAGCTCAGTAACTTTCAGAAACTGTTTCTAGAGGCTTGTTGTAAAAGGAAGCACACAACCAGAAAACAGAAAAAGCAAAAAAAAAAAGTTTAAATTGTGCACAATACTTAGCATATCAAACACGTTTTAAAAAGTAGGCATTACTTTTTACATTGCAATAACAAGGATTCAAAATGGAAATACTAACAGTACATATAATGTATTGCTATATGTAATGAGATTATTTTTCAAGCTGAACTGAAATCACACATTATATAAAGTTTAGTAATAGCCATGTAGGCATGTTGCACCATCCATCAGTTAAAAAAAAAAAAAAATCAAATAGGAAGCTGGCTTGGGCCATTCCTTACACTGAGAGGCAATTTCATTTCCTATTCCCAAACTCAACTAGTGGATTTCTGTATAACATTGCTGAATAAAACATACATTAGGGCTGGGGATGTGGCTCAAGCGGTAGCGCGCTCGCCTGGCATGCGTGTGGCCCGGGTTCGATCCTCAGCACCACATGCAAACAAGAATGCTGTGTCCGCCGAGAACTAAAAAATAAATATTAAAATTCTCTCTCTCTCTCTTTAAAAAAAAAACATACATTAGTGTGTCTGCCTGGCTAAAGGCAGTCAAGCTTAGCCTTTGTAGTGGAGGATGGATGAATGAGAACTGTTTAAAATGGAATTATTTCTGGGGTTGGCATTTAGCTGAAAAATCCTCTCTTGGGAGCTTTTAAAAACTCCAGAGTTATCAAGTGTCCTGATGAGCCTCTATGGCTATATTTAATCCTTTCCCACTTGCTCTCTCACTAGGAAGGAGAGAAGCTGGAATTGCAAATTCTGAGAGAGGATTTAAAAGCCTTAAGCTGGTTTGAGGTCAGGCCATGGTGACCCAGGCAAGCTGCTTACTACATTCATGGGGGGCTTTCCCATGCTGCCAGGGCCAGCTATGTTAAGCTTCAGGGACAGAATCTAAAGCCACATCTAGCACTTACACATTCAGCAAACACAGGTGGATTTTTAACTCGGTAAATCTGAAATGTCATTTTGCAGACTAAGACTGCAAATCTCTAAGATTTTAAAAGCCACACATTGCTAGTAAGGTGATTACGGTAATGACACAAACTCTTGGATGTTTTCTTTTCCCATGGAGTTAAGACTTCTAAGAAGGATGCTGTTTTATTAACACAAAGGTTAATCAATTTAATTCATATCTTATACTGAAAGCATGACTTTGTGATTCTAAGCAACTCTGCCCTTTATAAAATTTCTCATTTTTTTACTCTAATGGATTTTTCATTTCCATTCTCTACTTTTATAAAATCAAAACTTTAATATATGTTTTATGCTATTAATTTTTCTGCAAAGAATCTTAAACAAATAAATAAAGTGGTATTATTTGTTATCTAAAAATTCCACTGACAAATGATTTAAAACATTATACTATTTGGATTATGAACAAACATTTTTTTGTTAATATGGATGCAAAGATTTCAGAAAATTTGCTTGAAACAAAGGATAAATATGTTAGAGTCAGTTTTCAAAGTTAACTTTTCATTGACTCATGACTTTCTACATTTGGAAACAAAGAAAAAATATACAGCTCTTCAAATGTAACTTTTATTTCTTTTCAGAAATTAGGGTCAATTTTTTAAAACATTGATTTGTTATAGTTATCTACTTAACTACAAAATGTGTAGGGATACTTCAAACTATTTTGCAGGTGTCCAAATCTAGAATGTTCTTAAATATTTTTGTAGAAAAGCTATTCTCTTACGAGTGCTCTAAACAGGGCCTAACATAGATACTGAACATAACAAATATGATGATAATGTGATATCTAAAACCTTCAGGAATTTTAGGTGGGATGACAAATTGTTTTGATTGACAGGTTTCCTAATATCTTAAGCCACTGTTTTTGCTAACATTTCTGTGACAGCAGCATTACAGACAAGTTTTGTACAAATAACTCAATACTGGATGAAAGGAGAAGCCTTTATTGAAAGAATCATATTACTATTAATAAACACTATGTCAAATGTAAAATATATTTTTATAAGACTTGAATTAAGCAACTACTAATGTTGTGTTATTATCTTTTCACCCAAAAGTTCTTCTATTATAATTAACTATAGGTAATAGATTTTATTATGTCTTTATATCTCACCCACAAATATCTGCATAATACAAAAATTTTGCTTTCAAAAGATATGTTTTATACTGAAGAAATCCCCTTTTCTCTTTTTCCTTCCATTTTTTTTTCTTCCCCTTTTGGTGCAGGGGATTAAATTCAAGGCATTATGTTAAATATGCATTCTATTTCTTAGCTGTACCTTCAGCCCTGTACTCAATATATGAATTTTCTCTCTAGAGAATACTTGTGATATAACAAATTTTAAGTGGCAGTCAGTTTTTCCTCCGAACTCTTAAAGAGCACCTGGTAGAAGTAGTACCCTCTTTTCTGGATATGGAGTGGGCTCTCCCTCCATAAATTCCCTCCCAGGTTTTCACTGACCTTTGAATACTTTATACCATTAATGACAGCTAAGGGCAACTGCTCTTTGGGAATGAGATACAATGAAGAAAGGAAAGCTGAGAGGGAAAAAGACTCAGAACACCGTGAGGGAGGGGGCTGCTCTGGAGATGGTCACCTGAAAGCATACTTAAAGAGGTCCAGTGTGCTGAAGACTTCAATTTTGTGCTGGCTGGTGAGAGGATGGGGTAGTTTAGGTCACAAGTTAAATTTGACAAATGTTAAATAACTTAAAAAGTGCCTTTCAGTAGTGTATGATGGTGAACACCTGTAATCCCAGTGGCTCAGGAGGCTGAGGCAGGAGGATCGCAAGTTCAAAGCCAGCCTCAGCAACGTAGTGAGACCCTGTCTCAAAATAAAAAATGAAAAATGGGCTGAGGCTGTGCATCAGGGGTTAAGTGTCCTGGGTTCATTCCCCTGTACCACAAAAAACAAACAAATAAACAAAACAAGAAACAAAGCCTTTCATTTAATTCTAACTTTCCTATTAAATCATAGTTTCCTTATATTTCCCTTAGTAGAAATTCAGAACTGTTGTATTCAGTTGAATGGTTTTATAGAGTTCCACAGATTATGGAAGGAAAAAACAAACAAGAAATGTATCTTGGTGACACTAATCACTGTCGTATTTTTAGATAAGGGTACTTCAAATGCTTGTTTTTTATTTTTATTTTTTGGTGGAATGGAATTGAATCCAGAGCCTCACACATGCTAGGCAAATGCTCTATCACTGAACTATATCCCCAGCCTTTTTCCTAAAAATTTTGTTTTAATAGAGGGTTTTTTCTAAGTTACCCAGGCTGTCTTGGAACTTGCAATCCTACCTCAGCCACCCAATAGCTGAAATTACAGGTGTGCACAACTACACTCAATAGCAAAGTCTTTTGAAATTCACAAGGTAAAATAGCTGGCCTAAATATGCCATCTCTTTAAGAGATATGTCTGCCCACAATAATGTGAAATCAGGTCTTCTGTCATCTCTGCAGGTAGCCTGCTTCCAGAATAGATGTAAAATATTTGTTTCTTCTACTTACAACTTTGTATGTAAGCATCTCATCTGTAATGAAGCATCAGAAGACCACTATACTGCCTATCTAAGCCACAATCACCCATTAGTTGTTATGTGTTAGGAATAAAGTTAGTGTGTTGATCTCCCTCTGCTGGACTCCTATATTCTGAACTGAGATGGGGAGGAAGAGTGTTATTTGCTGCCTATCACACAACAGCCCATGAAAGATGACTATTGACTTAGACTAATATTTTCTTCTTTTTGTATTCTTATTGTATATATTTCAAAACAATCCCCATTTTACACAGGGGAAAGGTTAAAAGTAAGATTTTAGAGTTAGAGTAATACAGTGAAATCAACAGTAGAAAAGGACAATAAAAATAAATGTTTATTTATTTAAGAGAATTTATTGACAGGCTCCTATTAAATGGTACTTGAGCTTACATGTTAGAAAATAATGTTTCATTCTCTTTTTGAGACCACTTTTATAAATATACATAGTACTATGTACATACACACCTTCCACCATTAATATATTTTTAGTAACATTTTTTAAAAATTAAATTTTGACATCATTCTCTCAAGGAGCACTCAAATGTTATAAAAATATCCACTCAAATATAATGAAAACAGTTGTTTATGTTTTAAACCACTGCAATTCACTATCAAATTATAAATAGGGTAATATATACAGAAAATAACACTTGTATTTTGTCCCTTTGTTAATTGGGAAACTGAAAAATGAAGTACAGAGCCATACATATATTGTAAAGAAAAATAAATGAAAGGAGAAAATTAGAAGAAGTTGAAAGATTATCTGAATTTTCTAAAAGATTAAATGGCATCTGGCTTAATAGATAAAATGAAATGAGGACTGTAATTATATAACATTTAGCTGGTATAATAAACAAGTTTATTTAACTCTGTCTTCACAGTAATAAGCATAACTATATGAGTGTGATTAGAGTTACAATTCTGAGCAGACAGGCATTTCCTTGGTGATGAAAACAGGTCTATATTTATTTGGGAAGACATATGACCCCCCAAAGTCTGTGGAGATACAATGGTCCCTCATGTAAAAAGTTAAAAGTTTCAGGAATATTGTTTTGGTTTTGATGTATTTAGACCGTCACATTGAGAATAAGAATTGATAAAATTAAATGGACATTTGAGAAGTAGAGTCATGCTTAAATAAGTCACTTCAAATTTTGAAGTTTTAGTAATACACCAAAAATCCCAAACCAATCAATGGGCTGGGGATGTGGCTCAGTGTTAGGAGCACTTGCCTATCTCTACCATCATGGGGCACTGGGGAAACTTCCCTATTTAAAATATTTACTGAATTACTACTGTGTGTCACACACTGTATTAGGAAGTAAGTTTTATCTTCTATCAAATGGGAATACATTTTTAAGATTTCACTTATCAGGGCAGGGTATATAATTTAGTGTACTGTGTGTGCTTAGCACCCATGAAGCCCTGGATTCAATCCCTGGCACCCAAAACAAAACAAAAAAGATTTCAGTTATCAGAAAAGAATTCTACATACCAAGAAATCTAAGTAGTGACATATCTGTTGTTTAGGCCAAAACTCTGCATTTTTATTTTTATTTTTATTTTTAGTTGGAGATGGACACAATATATTTATTTATTTTTATGTGGTGCTGAGGATCAAACCCCAACTCTACCACTGAGTTACATCTCCAGTCCCAAGCTCTGCATTTTTAAATAATAAAAATGAGTAAAAACAAATAAAACTATGTGTTTGTTCTATAGAACAACATCTAAGACTTATATTAGAATGCAAAAACTAAAAGTAAAAATTAGCAAAACATATGTAGTAATTGTAACTACAATGGTGCTAAGTGTCAAGGCTAAATTTCATATAATGTAGTAGATAAAATAAGAACTAAATGATAAGAACATGGAGAAAACTCGATCAACAACCAGTACTACTGAAATCATAGAACAGAGCAATAATATAACAATTTTATTTAAAGTTAGGAAAAAATGTTATGAGATAGAACTTTATAAGAGGAATGGTCCAAAATATTAAAAACTTGGAAATAAGCAAGTTGGGTAAAAAGGTTTAGTTATTAATGCTAGTTTTAACATTTTCTTTCTGGAATCATATAAGTCTTTATGTCCGTTGTTTTATTATACCTCATTAAAAAACCTACCATTTCGATGGATGTGGTGGCACATTCCTGTAATCCCAGCAAATAGGGAGTCTAAGACAGGAAGATTGCAAATTCAAGGCCAACCTCAGCAACTTAGTAAGACCCTGTCTCAAAATTAAAAACAAAAAGGGCTGGAGAGGTAGCTCAGTGAGTTGTGCCCTTAGTTTCAACTTCTGGTAAAAAAAAAAAAAAAAAAAAAAGAAAAACCCAAACAAGACAAAACAAAACCCAAACCCAAACCAAAAAAACAATAAATATCCTACCATTTTCTATCAGTTTAGATGGTATGTTAACACCTTTTGTAATATTATTTATTTTTTATTTTCCTAACAGGAAAAGTAAAATTCCTTGCAACTATAGAAGGGAACTTCTTTCTTTAAAAAATTTGTAAATGATAATTTTATAAGACCTGTCAAAGGGGGATGGGTTATAGCTCAGTAGTAGAGTACTTGCCTAGCACATGTGAGACACTGGGTTCAATCCTCAGCACTAAATAAAAGTAAATAAATAAAATAAATTTATTTTTTAAAAAACCTTTCAAGGCATTCATTCTTCAGTAGCTATACAGACATGTATTTGTATCTTGATAGGAGAGTGCTTTTCAATATCTACTATGAATTGGCATGTTCCACAAAGAAATAATGTATACCTTGAAACTGCTAGATTAAATTAAAAATAAATTATTCTTCAACATGTCCAGAAATACTAAAACAAAACAAAACCTGCTGCTTTCATCTAGAAAAATTTGGGAAAAAACTTTTTCCCAAATCATCTTCTTCATTGCAACTACATTTACACTACATTTACCATTCTCATGTAAAATGATATATTTTTTGATTTTTTCTATAAAATAATTAGAACATTTTATATTTGAATCATGCTTAATAATTTATTTAAGTATTTAATGTTAATTCTCTTTTTGCAGGTAGTATTCCAATTTCATACCTCTGAGGTACTAGACCCTCATCCTCATTTTTTTTTCCATAAAAAATATAAAACTAAGCTAATAAAATGATGAAACAAGACTCTTGGTATCACTGCCATCTTAGTCATCAATCATTCAAATGAAGGCAAGATAGACACAGGTGAACTTCATTTAAAATTTCAAATATTGCTTAATTGATCTATTTAAAAACTATTATAATAGCAATAAATAGTATGCAGCAATAGCATATTTTACTATATTTGAGATAAAGATCCTAGTAATTAAGAATATATTCTTATTTGTGAAAATGGCAAAAATTGTAACTTAAAAACAAATTAATCTTTTTTTTGCAGGTTTGATCTTTAAAAAGTTATATTAGATTTCTTTAAATTATAAACATTTATATGTGGTTTAGTTTGTGGATGTCAATCATTCACTTATGATTAGAGGTAGAAAACTTGGGATGGTGCATGAAAACTTAAAATTTCTTAGAGTTTAAAAGATGAAAATTTCTTAGAAAGTAAGCCAAACCATCTCAAAGTATATGCTGAGTTATAAGCAGAAATATTCATTTTCTAAAATCTAATTTAAAGGCAGCTTTTCAAAAAAGTTGAATCAATTCATTTAATGAATAAAGTTAACAAATGAGTATCTCTTGAAAATGAACAACAGAAACTTTAAAAAAAATCTTAAATTTATTTTATTAACACAGATTACTGTCAACTTCACTTAACACACATTAAACAACTCTGTATTTTACCAAATTAAAAAGAAAATTATAACAGAAATCTGAGACCAAACGGGGAAAAAAAACATAACTAACCTCAGCTAAGTAGTTCTCCATGCTCTTATTTGAAGGCTTTGGGTTAGAAGTAGGAACCACTAAGTTTTCTCTTGGAAAATAACTTCTGTTGAGTACCAAACTATTATTAAGACTTCCAACACAAGAGCACTCTACGACAGGCCTTGGACTAACAGTGCTGAGTAAAGATCTGTTCTGTTTTTCCACAAGAAGTTGAGTATTGACATCCTCTAGTTTTTCATTAGCCCTGTGAAGATTGCAAAAGGAAAATATGTAGTATCTTATATTTCACGAAAGGACTCATAAATGACTTGAATTTTTAAAAACTGACTTTTTAAATTAAAGTGTTTTATACAATTATTGGTTTAAAATTGTTTTAAAGAACAACAAACAAGTAATTCAAAGTAGGAGGGAGAGAAATGGCTATCAATGATGCACAGATAACTCATGGTGCTGTTTTATTTTATTTATTTATTTTTCTTTTTTGCAATTTGTATTTTCTTTTTTTTTTTTTTATTGGTTGCATGTTTTAAAGGGCTCTGCTTACAAGATTCTTGAGGATTTCATTAGGAATATTTGTATTTAAAGGGTAACTATGAGAGATGATGGATATGTTAATTTTCTTGGCAATGACAGCCATTTTAGTATGTAAAATAGAACTCATATAGTACTCCTTAAATATAATTAAAAATATGAAACTGAAAAAAAAGCGGGGAATACTGTATTTACTCAACTATTTTAGGGATTTCAAAAACATTTCTCAAAGATATTTGCAAGCATTTGCTTAGACCATCTACTTCACCATTACTTTGAAGAAATTAAACACTTGACATCAACCTTTAGGGGACAGGTGAGACAGCCGGGTTGGTGATTAAAAAGAACTTAAAGCTGCTACTAAGGCAATTAGCTCATATAATAATTTCCAAGGCATCAGAGGAGGGACCGGCCCTTTCTGCCTTCTAAACACCCCCTCACATGACCAAGAACTTGTTTTTAATGACTTTGCAAATTATATTTCTCTCATCACTGTTACTCTTTTCCTATATCACATTTTGTTTTATTTATAGAGAAGAAAAACTTTAAAGAACTTTTTGTTTCTAGATATACTTTAATATATTATAATATCAATCATCAAAATAAGGAAAATTAACTCATTCAGTGGCAGAATGTGCCTGGAGAGTGTTATTCATAGCAATTTACCCTTTGGGTTTATGTCATAATCTCCCCAAATTAGTTAAACTTGTTGATATTTTCATTTAAGGGAATGCTGACAAGTAATCTGATAATAATAAAAATTTCTTAAGACTAATAAATCAGGTTAGCCATATGAGAATATTAAGGGGTTAAAAACCATATAAAACCAAATCAACTAACCAACCAAACAAACAAACAAATGAAGGAAGTAATATAAACTGTCCCAGAAAAAGTTTTACTTTTAAAGGTAATATAAACTGTCCCAGAAAAGTTTTACTTTTAAAGGTAAGTTCATTTACCAGCAATATTTTCCAAAATTAAGTCAATAATTATCTTTCCCATCTTACTGATCTTATGAATCTAACTAAAGATTGTTTTCAGAGACAAATTAATGAACTTAATTTATTCTGTATGATTCTGTTTCAACTTACTTGTTTAGTTTATTCAGTAATGATTTTCTAATTTTAAATTCTTCTACATAGAGTTGTTTATATTTTTCCAGTTCTATTTTATTAGAATCTTCTTGTGTTTTTATTTTAGACAGTTCATATTCCAGGTCTTTAATTCTGAGTTCCATCTGACTTCTTATTGAGGCATTATTACTTTCTCTTAACTGTTCCAAATTTTCCTGAGATGCTGCTTGTGTCTAAAGCAAATTAAAAGAATAATTATAATCCAAACAATTATTGTATATTTATTTCCTTTAGTTCTGAGTCAGTGACTTAGAAATAAATTCCAAATATATGAAAAAATATGCTGGAGTTTAAAATATTTATACCATCAATATCAACTGTATTAATCTAAATTATAAAAAACTGAATCATTTAGAATTTTATTTTTGCACAGTGTTGGGGATGGAACCCAGGGACTCAAACATGCCAGGCAAGTGCTCTACCACTGGGTTACATCCTGAGCCCTGAATCATGTTCATGTTAGTACTTATGTAATCCAATACTATAAAGAATTATAGAATCAATTCAAAATTTAAAAAAATCGAACAATGTAACTTAAGAACAATTCAAAAGTGGTATAATTACTACATCATAATTTTTTCTTTTTCTCCTAATAGTTTTGTTGGCATTAAGAGTCAAAAGATCAGTTTAATTATAATAATGAAAGAAACTGAATTTTTAAAAGGAATATCAGACATAATTTTCCTAAAAAGACCTACAAAACAGAGAAAACAAAATGTATACATTCAAAATATAATTTGCAGTGAAATGAATTAAAGCACATTATAAATTGACCTTTAAAAATAGATTCACTTGTTTTAATTTTTCCACTAAATCCTGTCTTGCTCTGTCTTCAATCTCCTGTTTATACTGTTCTAGTTGACCATGTTCTTCCATATTCTTCTTTTCTATATGACTTTTAAGGTTTACTACTTCTTGTTCTAATTTTTTTTTATTCTTCTCTAGTTTTTCACATTTTTTTTGCATAGTTTTCATGGATAATAGCTCCTGATGAAGAAACTGATTTTTTTTATCCAGATGTAGACATTTTGAAGATGCAGTCTCCAGTTTTGCTGCAAGATCATCAATCTGCATGAATAAAATAATAGCTTTATAATGAAGCAGGCTAAGAAGAGTCTAACACAAAACTAATAACAAATTCTGACATAAAATTGGTTGTGATCAAATATATTATATTCTTAGAATGTGGTTCCTTAAATTACTCAGAAAACCAAAAAGTTAATTAAAACTACCAGGAGCCACAAAAACATAATCTTTACACTCACAATATTTACCACAGAATATTAGCACTTGATCTTAGACTCCAATTTTTAAAAATAATTGTTTCATGTCTTTCCTTCTTTTTTTTTGGGAAAATCTGAAATGATGACTTTATTTTTTGTGTTTCAATATGCATATTTTTATTAGTTACGTACACATGACAGTACAATGATCTTGACAGTTCATATGTTTGAATCAAATGGGGTACAATTTCTCATTTTTCTGATTGTACAGGTTGCAGAATCACATTGGTCATACAGCATGTCTTTCCTTCTTAAAATAATTCCAAGACATCTCTCAGTAGAAAATCTCTTACTTTTTCCCTCCCATCCACACTCCCCATTATATATAAAGTTTTAGGGATAATCATATTGAGTTATATAGATCTACATTAATAGATGGCTTCCAGAACAACACTTTGAAAATAGACGTAAATAATGAAACTTGTAAATTTGGATATGTCATAAGTCTTTCTGAACTGCCAATGTTCTATGTTAATTTGAATTGCATTCCAAGAAGTACTGTTTCTTGGTAAGGAGGACATAAAATTTAGTGAAATAATCCATACATTTTTTGGGGGGGGAGGGGGCAGAAATTACTTAATTCCATAGCATAATCTTGTAGACTGTACCCACATAATCTTGATTCTACCCACATATTGAGGAAGCATACTAAACAAAAAATAACACAAATTTGGTAGGATTTCAGTGGTACTGAGTTGGGAAAAATTAATTTCCTTTAGATACAATGATAAGAGTGGTGGTTTTAGTCTGATGTGGTGGTGCACTCCTGTAATCCCAGTGGCTTGGGAAACTGAGGCAGGAAGATCCTGAGTTCAAAGCAATGGTAAGGCGTTAAGCAAATCAGTGAAGCCCTGTGTCTAAATAAAATGCAAAGTAGGGCTGAAGATGTGGCTGGCTCAGTGGTTGAGTGCCCCTGCGTTCAATTAGGGGTACCAAAAAAAAAAAAAGAGTGGTGATTTAAAAAATATCTATAAATTCTTTGACATTTCTCACATGAAATTTCCTCTCCTGGATATGAATGAGTTGGACTTAATAACTGGCTTTTAGTGAACAGAATATGGTAGACTGCTGTGTGATTTCCAATGCTGGTTTAGAAAATGTGATATAGTTTGTGTAACTTTCTCTAGGGAAGCTTACCTTTAGAATCTACACCATATTGTGAGGAAGCCCAATTTATAGGTGAATCCTCATGTAGGTGGTCTAGTTGATTTACTGTGCTAAAGGCCTAGTTAAAAGCCATATTCAACTGTCAGACATGTGAAAGAACAAGCATGGTTAAACTCCCCAGCTTCAGGTCACCCCAGCTAATTCCAAGTGGAGAAGAAAGGAGAGAGCATCACTGAACCTTGCCTGAACTGCAGATTGTTAGCAAAATAAATGTTTGAGACACTGAATTTTGAGGTGGTTTATTATATACCAATAACTGACCTAGATACTGACACTAAATATGAGTTGCCACTATTAAAAACAGCAGCAAACAAAAATATGTAGAATCAGGAGGTAGGGAGAAGTAGAAAGGACCTAGAAAAAAGAAACAAAAAGAAAAGCCAAAAAGTCTTTCAAAGCGATTATTAGGAAGCCTGATGGCCCCAAAAGAGACTACAGAAAGGGCTTCAAAGCCAATGAAGAAAAAATACTGAAACCTAGAAAGAAGAATCTTGATACATAGCAATTGAAAGTAAAACTGACATGAAAGAAAAGCTAAAGAAAGACTATTAAATAAAGGAATCAAGAATTATTGGGTTCAAATATCTTTTTCCCATTTGTAGTTATCTCCACACATCAAACTGTCAAATAATGCTAAAATAAATGGCCTATGGGATAATATCAAAACTGTAGTGCTACTTGGATCCATGTAAAGATGAATCCAAGAACATGACTGTTAAGTCCCTTTATGAAGACTACAGGAAGACTGAAGGCAGTGCCTCAAAATTCTGTTAAGGATCATTAAGGTACATAAATCTTAAAGAAATTGTCCCAGTATATCTTCACAGGAAGCCCAAGGTGAAAAGCCTGTCACAAAAAGATTTGTCAAAGTGCCTTTTCTAATGGCACCAACCCCAATGAAATTCACAGTAGATTCAAAAGTTCTTAAAACAATGTAGTAGCAAAAACCCTGCTTGCTTGTTTGGACTGAAAGAGACGAGTGAAAATGAAGAGTCCTTTGGACCCTGGAAATTCCTCAGGGAAAAAAAGGCTAAAAAAAACCACTCAGCCCCCATCTGAACCTGATAAAGATGGTAAGATCTTGCACTTTGAGCTTGAAACTAATGCCATAATGACTGAGACTTGTAGCAAGTAGGCGCAATGTAAAAACATTGTGGAAGAAGACAGAGTGTACTAGTTTGAGAACATGGTATTCTTTCACACTTAATTCCATAAAATAGAGAATTTAGGGTTTGACTTGCTTGTAATGACTAGAGTGTGATAAAAATGGTGACACATGACCTTCAACACTAGTTTATAAAGCTATCTCATTCTGCTGACACTTGAAACCCAGTTGTGAGGAAGCTTAGGCAACAAAGAGAGCCTAGGCATACCAGTGTAGATGTTCCAGCTTCCTGTCTCAACTGAAGTTTCTGCTAGTGACCAGCACCAACAACCAAAACCAACCTGACATACTAGTGGGCAAACTTTAGGAAGATTCCAGCCCCCAGTCAATGAACTGTTCCCACTGAAGCTCAGGAGAGCAGAGACAATTTTCCTTGTCAAGTTTGAGAAGGAAATATTGTTTTAAGCCACTAAACTTTGGGTAATTTATTAAGGAACAATAAATACAGAAGATGGATTTAAAATAGAGATAATAATAAATGAAAACTTACATAGTAGAAATTATCTCCTTTAAAGTAGGATCTAATAAACACTGAAGCTAATTTATTAATGACAAACAATGCCAATGGGAAGCAGCAATTAGAAGAAAGACATCAAGGAATAAGTTTTTCTTGGGGCTGGGGATGTGGCTCAAGTGGTAGTGTGCTCGCCTGGCATGCGCGGGGCGCTGGGTTCAATCCTCAGCACCACATAAAAATAAAATAAAGATGTTGTGTCCACCGAAAACTAAAAAATAAATATTAAAAAATTCTCTCTAAAAAGTTTCCTTTAATTGCAAATTCTTATAGAATTTTCCCTAAAGTTAGGGAATATGGAAGAATGGGAAGCAAGGAGACATGATTTGAAGTATAATAGTTGAAAAACAACTAGAAATATTTGGTTTTAATAATCAAAATCAGATGTTTTATCTGATTTAAATTAGTGGATTCCAAAAGAGAGAGGCAGCTTTGAGTATTTAGTAATTTAGTATTAAATTGTCATTTTTCTTTCCTCAGGGGCAATAAAACAAATGTACTATCTTTTGAATATAAAGAAATTGAATGTAACTTCTACTTTATCTTATTTCAAGTTTGTTTATATAAAGAAGATCATCTCATCTTTGTTGTGCTATATGCTTCTGCATATCAAAGTGGCTTTGAAATCTTGAAATTCATATTACTTCTTTATTATTTGTCTTTGATAAATTGCCTGAGCATTACCTGACTTTTAATTGCTGTACTGCTGAAAAATTCTTCCTTGTATGGGAAAATTCAATAATTCATAGGTGATTTGATAAATTATGAGTTAATAAAACAATGGTATAAATAGGAGACCGAATCAGCAGATCTTATGACGAAAATTTGACAGAAATGGGAACCAAGAGGGAAGCTCTGGGTAAGAATTTCTAAAGGACTGAATGTAGAAAAGGAAAGGTATGGACTCATCTTTGCAAGCATGACTTCCCATCATGTCATGAAGTCAACAAGGCACAAATTTCTTCAAGCAGCAAAAAGTTTCCACAGGAGCAAATTTAAATACATTCTGCAACATGGATCTTTTTTCAATTCAATTCCACTCATATGTACACAACCAAGAGAAATGAAAACATTTGCAAACACAATAACTTTTACATGCATGCCCATAGCAGCTTTATTAATAAAAGCCCAAAGTAGAATAACTGAGAGGTCCATCAGTTGATGAATGGATAAACAAAATGTATGGTATATTCATATAGAAGGATATTACTCAGCATTAAAAGAAATTAAGTACTGATACAACAAGAATGAACCTTGAAAACATTAAGTAAAAGAAGCAGTCATAAAAGAAATTAGACCACATATTGTATGACTCCATTGACATGAAATGTCTACAAGAGGCAAATCTATAGACATGCAATAGTTTGGTGATTCCATAAGTGGGGAAGGGGATGGGTGATAGTTTCTTTTTAGGTTGATAAAAATGTTCTAAAATTATGGTGATGATTGCACAAACATGCCAAAAGATTCCATCTGTGTGGTTTAAATAGCTAGATTTTATGGTATTTTTTTTTTAAAGAGTGTGTGAGAGAGAGAGAGAGAGGGAGAGAGAGAATTTTTTAATATTTATTTTTTAGTTTTCGGCGGACACAACATCTTTGTTTGTATGTGGTGTTGAGGAACGAACTCAGGCCGCATGCATGCCAGGTGAGCGCGCTACCGCTTGAGCCACATCCCCAGCCCATGGTATGTTAATATTATCCCAACAAATGCATATATGAGTTTGTTGGGATGAACCCAATTACTATGTATAAAGATCTAATAAAAAATTCTCAATGAAAGAAAGAAAAAACTGATTTGGTACTCATGATTTGGGGTCATATAATAGTTTACTGCTTGATTTTAGGTTATTAGCCAGGGTTTAAGACATCATAAAATCAACATTATGCTCTTTTAATAGAAAAATCATACAAAAAAGTCTACAAAATTAAAAAAATCTTCATTTCACTGTGCAAAGTATTTTAAAGTTTATATTTCCCCAAATAAGCTTGATTTTTCCCAAAACTGATTAAAATTACCTTGTATATAAGCATATTAATTGGAATATCCATTTCAAATGAACTGTTTTTTAAATCTTCATGGAAACTAAACTCCCCATTTTCATACTTATTTAACTTTGTTTTTGTCATTTTTAAAAGTTTCTTAAACCTGAAAGAATGTAGAGAATGGGTAGAAGTTTTTAAAGAGTAAATATTTAATAATTATTATATATTAACAATAATATTCTAGCAAAATCATTAGATAATGTTTTATCACAGAAAAGAAACAGCTATAAATTATGATCTGCTCTCATCTGTTTTAACCCAACATTATTTGAAAGCATTCTAATGAAATTAGCATCTTAGATAAATATGAAGAAAAATTTTATGATATGTAAGGCAGACAAAGTGTTAATACAAATTCTTATAATTATCAATATGCATTTTATTGTTAATATAAAAATAACTTATTGTTAAATATTAGTTTTAGCTCAGAGATCAGTAATTAAGGTAAAAAAGACATGTTTTAAGGGGATACAAAAATACACTTTGGACTCTGTTGATCATGATCTACATAAGAAGAAAACAGGACAGTGGGTATAGCTCAGCGATAAGCATGTGCTTAGCGTGTGAGAGGCCCTGGGTTCAATCCCAACAAAATATAGCAAAATAAAACAAAAACAAAATATCAAAGAAATCATTTAGAACAGAAAGAGGAAAAAAATCTTTGAAGTCTGAACTGAGGGAAAATAAAACTACAACAACAAAAACCAGGCAGAGTTTTATAAGATATCAACAGATAATGGGTAAAGGATATTACTCAGCATAAAAAGAAATTAAGTACTGATACAACAAAGATGAACCTTGAAAACATGTTAAGTAAAAGAAGCAAGTCATAAAAGAAATTAGACTTTTAAAAAAAATGTAGCAGGGTGTGGTGCATGCCTGTAATCCCATCAGCTCAGAAGGCTGAGGCAGGAGGATCAAAAGTTCAAAACCAGCCTCAGCAATTTAGCAAGGCCCTAACTTAGCTAGACTCTGTCTCTAAATAAAATATAAAAAGGGCAGGGGACGTGGCTCAGTGGTTAAGTCCCTGATAGGTTCATTCCCGTACAAAAAAGAGAGTTTTTTGCTAGGCTTTGTGTCAGAAAATGCAAGAGATGCAAAACCATAAAAATAGATAGTTAACGAGAAAAAAAATATTGACTAGAATCAGAGAATAAATTCAATTTCTAAGCAAATAAATAAAAAAGCAGTCATAGAAGTGGCTGTAAAGATAGAGAAAAACATTGTCCTTTCCCCATCACCCCCTGCCTCTAGTGATAGAAACACAACTGTTGATTTAATTCTTCATTTTTAACTCAGACATATATATTTGTATGAGATATACGTATGATTAAGCCTTCCACATCTGTAGGTTCCATATCCAAGTATTCAACCAACTATGGATCAAAAATACTTGAAAATAAATTGTATCAGAACATGTACAAAACATTTTTCTTGACATTATTCTTTAAACAATATAGTACAACAATTATTTATATTACATTATGGATTAGGTAATCCAGAGATGATTTAAAGTATATAGGAAGATGGAGTACATGCAAACTGTACTATACTATTTTATATAAGGGGCTTGAATATCAATGAATTTTGTATCTGCAGGGTTCCTGGAACCAAACCCTGCACATTACCAAAGGCTGACTCTATATTGGATATGTATGTATGTGTGTAAGTGTGTGTATTAAACCCAGAATTTTAATAACATTTCTCATATACATATGGGAATAAAGAAGTATATCTCCACAATATATTTTATAATTAAAAAAAACAAGATAATTTTTGAAGTTGTTAAGGAATGACAAAGATAGGCTTTTAGATATTCAAATGTGTAAATACTGAAGACAAGGAATCAAAAAAAGAAAGCAAAAACATCTTCAGAAATAAAAATTCTAAGTAGATGATTAGAACAGTGCAATTGAGATTATACCCCAAAGGCACTTCTGCTGTTTCTAAAACCACTAGAGTAACTTGTTTAATTATGAAAATGCAGATATAAAATAAATTTATATTTAGATTTTAGTAAAATTACAGTAATATCAATTAATTATTAGCTAAAAAAGATTTGAAATATAAAATTTACCCAGTTAGCTCTTTTTCTAATTTGCCATTTTTCTTCTTTTCTTGATCCAAAGTATATTCCAGAGATTGTTTTAATTCTGTAAGTTTCTTTAATTGTTCCTTATCATCTTCAGACTTAAAAAATTTAAAAAATTTATTTAAAAAATGTAGACTCTTTTTTCTTAGAAATATTATTTCTCATGAATTCATGACTAATATGTGTTTAGATATTTCATAAATCTGATGCCATTATGGACAGACTTCAAAAATAATGATTTTCTTAAAATAGCTAAAACTCATCTACATTTTCATCATTTTCTTTTCTACAAGTTAAATTGCCACAATTTGTTCAAAATAGAAGTTTTTGCACATAAGTTATGAAGAAAAATGTTTCTTAAAGATTGGTTATATTTACATTTAGTTTCTAAACATGTTCTAGAAACATTTTCATCAGTAGTTCAAGAATATTCCAAATTTATTTAAATCATATTTAGCTAAGATAATTTTGGTGAAACTCCCATCTGATTCCCATTACATTTTTGATACTCACCTGACTCTGAAATGAGAAAAATACTTTTACTTTGTAAGCATTTCCCCAGGAGTTTCAAGCTATTTCTCTTTATGTTTTTTTAAAATATTTTTTTTAGTTGTAGATGGACACAACACTTTCATTTATTTATTTTTATGTGATGCTGAGGATTGAATCCAATTTCTCACACATGCAAAGCAAGCACTCCACCACTGAGCTACAACCCCAACCCTAAGTCTTTGATTGGTATACAAAAACATAACTTTTTCTTGATTCTTGTGGCTTTCTGTTTGTCCTCTTACATTATATTTTAATATTCTTTAGTATAAGATCTCAATTTAAAATATATTTTCACCACATTATCTTCTCTTACACTAAAAATCTGATTTTCTATAATTCCAATAAAAAAAATTTGAGGTCCATCAATAACCTTTCTTTAAGTATTTCTGAGAAGTATTTTTTTTTCTCAGCAGCAATGATAACAGTGACCACAACCCTTCCCTCTGCTCCTTTAGACCCACTTCTCTTCTAAACATTGAAGTCCTTGATGTTTAGTTCTGTCCTTTCCTATTTGTCTTTTAAAATCATCAGAGTTCCTTATATCTCAAGACTTCAACAGAGATTTAAGACTCTCAAGACTGTCTAATCCACATTTCTAAACCTAACCTCATTAGTGAGATCATTTATAATTTTACTTCTTTCTTTTAGTTAACTTCTCATAGACAATAACCTCATAGGCTATGACTTGGTGTGGACAACTTCTGTAGATAGCAGTCTTATGCATTTTATTTTCTTTAAAGTTATTTTTTAGTTATATAGGTGGACACAATACCTTTATTTTATTTTTTATGAGGTAGCTGAGGATAGAACCCAGTGACACACACATGCTAGGCAAGCACTCTTCCTAACTCTGAGCCACAACCCCAGCCCCATTATGCACTTTTATGATGAGTACTGATGTTTGTTATGGTTTGGATGTGAGATGTCCCTTAAAAGCTCATGTGTGATACAAGAGGTTTAGAGAAGAAATGATTGGGCTATACCATTAACCTAATTAGTGAATTAATCCCTGATGGGATTAAATGGCAACTGGAGGCACGGGGTGTGTGCTAGAGGAAGTGGTTCACTGGGAACATGGCTATGGAGTAATATATTTTGTATTTGGAGAGTGGAGACCAACTCTCTGCTTCCTGATCACCATGTGAGCTGCTTCCCTCTGCCACACTCTTCTGCCATGATGTTCTGCCTCACCTCAAGCCCTGAAGAATGAAGCTGGCCTTCTATGGACTAAGACCTCTGGAACCATGAGTTCTCTAATAAACTTTTCCTAATCTACAGTTGTTCTGGTCAGGTCCTTTAGTCACAGCAGCAAAAAAGCTAACTGAAACAATGTTACTTTAAGTAATAGTTTTCTAATTTGGGGAGTGGCAGGGAGGTTCTCACCCTTAGGATGATGACCAGAATACTTCATCTTGTTTTTCTTTCATAATGCTAAACATTTCCATGAAGCTTGTTAGTTGTTTGCTTTTGTTTCCTTTTAGGTAATTTCTTATAAAGACATAACATTAAAGAAGTCTTGTTCTCAATTTCCTTTCAGATGTATACTCAACCATATTGTGTGGAAGCCTGAGTCAGTTATAACTCTCCATTCTTTCCAGTCTAGACTTTTCTTTATCTCTAAGTTGTGTATATCAAATGTCTCAACCCAGGTAAACTAGCATAGAGACCCACAAAACAAGAACTTTCTGCAGAAAGTTAGGGGTTACTAATTGAGTTGGCTGAAAGCTGTCTCTCATGAAATTTCTGATTGAATCCAATTTTTTAAAAAATTTTTATTTAATAAGAGTAGACTTCAAAGTAGTTAATTACTATGTCATACTCCTAAATAATTTCTTTGGGAATCTTTAGAAGATCCCTCATTATTTTTGAGTAAGTTCAATAGTTTTGGGTACTATCACAAATTTATTTAATTTTTTATACCTTATTACATTCTAGTTCTAGTTAGATGTTCTAGATAAATGTTCTAGTTCCCCTGACAAGTGTATCTATATAATGGAATTGCATGAATCTAGCTGTAATGACTTAAGGAAACCAATTAGGGACTAGGGTTGTGGCTCAGTGCTTACCTAGCATGTGAAGCACTAGGTTTGATTCTTGCACCATTTGTAAATAAATAAATAAAGGTTCATCAACAACTAAAACAATATTAAAAAAAAAAGAAAAAAAAAAAAGAAACTGTTAGTGGAAGCAAATAACTCATTGCTCCAGTTTAATGTTCACAATGCAATCTTGTGATCATAATTCTTACAAAGGAAATATGAATAATAGAATTCTACTTTGCTTGGTAAAGAGCTATATGATTTTTGGGCTGGGATACAGTTCAGTTGGTAGAGTGCTTGCCTCACATGAACAAGGCCCTGGGTTCAATCCCAGCTACCCACCCTGCCCACAAAGAGTTATATGATTTTTATTATACATCAATAAAATGGCATCCTGAATTGATGTACCATCAGTCCTTCTGAGATTGGACTGTTAGGTCTTTGAAAGGCTAATGAACAAAAGATGAATGGAAAAATATTATTTCTGAACCTATAAGTCTAGGAGCACTATGTTACTCTGTAAGTTCCTATTAAAGCAAGCAACCAAGCCAACTTTTTCAGTGGCATCTGTCTTTTTTTTTTTTTTTAATCCAAAGAGAAAACATATCCCTTTGGGTAAAAATGCTTGTATAATGACCTCTTATTCATTCTTAATGAGGAATACAAAGTATTTCATTCTAAAAACATCACTGAAAGGTTTAGATTATGAGAAAAATTCAGAATTCTAAAAAAATAATTACTTAAATTTATAGGAATAAAAAGTTATTCTTATTCTAAAATATTATCAGGGACTCTAACAGATACTTGCATACTAATGCCCAGAACAGCATGACAACTCACATGTCTATTAATGGATGAACAGATAAACAAAATGTGAAATGTGTAAAACACTGTTTTTTAAAAATCTTACTATCAAAATAATTTATACATTTAGTCAACTTCTACAGGGAGGACTTAACAATATTATCAATGTAAACACACAAATATTTTTATCAATGAGATTTTTTCATATTGCCTAAAATATTCCTATATCCTACTGAAGAAATAAAAAATTCCATTTTAGCATGACACAGATTAATAAGAGCTTGACTTACCAAATTTGCACTTAACAGGTTTTTCTGAAGCTGTTCAATTTTTCCTGTTTGTTTTTTTATTGTATCTTTTAACTTAGAATTTTGGATTTCAAGCCTAAAATGTATATTTTAAAATAATTATTCTTACAACAATTTTTAAAATACTACATAATTTTTGGAAAAACATCTGAAAGAGTACCTAAATTCTTCAAAATTTGGAAAGACATTAATTTGGTAACTATTATTTTTCAAGCTAAGTTTATTGGATAATGTATAAATATCATGCACTTTTTTCTTTTGGCAGTACTGGCTTCATAATGCAAAGCATGAGCTTTAATACAGAGCTACAACCCCAACCCTAAATTATGCACTTTAAGTAACTTAAGTCTGAACTTTCCTCCTGACTTCATACAGCTTTGTTATAGTAACTGATATAATTCTCATACTACACTGCTTATTTTAATTATACTCAAGTTATTTGTATGCTGCTTATACTTTTGTAAGTGATCTTGCATCTTCTCAACACATTGAGCAGCCTCTGTGTGTTGATCCTCTGCTTCTTGTAACTACAACAAAGAAAAAAAATGGTATCAATAATCAAGTATAAACTTATCTATCACTTGTTTTTTTCTTTTTGCTAAACTTTTGTTAGGATATAGACATACCCCTTAATTCGCATATTGTATCTATTTTTGTGCTATAAATGCAGATGCAGAGTTAACTGAGTTGTTGCAGTAGAAATCTAATGGCCCACAAAGCCTCAAATAATACTGACTCTTTATGAAAAAGTTTACAGACCCCTACTCAAAGGCTGAAACACATTACTCTTGCTTTTGTTGTTTTTTTGTGGTGCTAGATCTTGAATCCAGGCCCACTCTGCCTGGGGATATACCCAGACCTCTTGCTTTTAAACTAACAAAACTGAAAAAAATGGAGAAAAATAGAAAATTCCTTTATGGAAAACATTTGTATTTTTGTATTCCAAGCACCACCTACCCAACTATGATTTGAAAAGTCTATCTATCTGATCTCTCTCTATATATTTATAACTATATATATACATATATATATATATACATATATATATATATATACACAGATATAGATATATATGGTCATATATATATGACCACATTTATGCCAGTAATGACAAAAATTAATACTATGCAGTAGGTGACAACTAGATGTTTCACTGAATAATTTGAGAGGCTGTATCTACACAGAAGCCAGAATGCTGGGGTTTGAATCTTAGCTGGCCAGTCACTAAGTTGTGTGATCTTGAGTAAATTAAGTTTTTGTGTCTCAAGTTTCTTCATCTGTCAAGTAACAAAAATAATAGTATTTACTTACTGAACTGCTGGGAAGAATAAATAAGGGAATAGACATAAAGTACTTGAAGAGTATGTGGCACATACTGAGCTACACATAGTATTAGCAAAGAACATTAACCTTCCTTATCAAACTAACCTCCAGAAGATAATTAAAATCCTTTTTTTTTGTGTGTGTGTGTGCTAGGGATTAAACCCAGTGGTGCTTAACCACTGAACCACATCCCTAGTCCTTTTTACTTTTTATTTTGGGACAGGGTCTTGCTAAGTTGCTTAGGGCCTTGCTAAGTTGCTGAGGCTGGCTTTGAACTTATGACGCTCCTGGGCTTCAGGAATTATAAGTGTGTTCCACTCTTTTTTTAGTATCTTTGTCACCCATTCTCCCACTTGGGCTGCTATACAAACTCTGTTTAACATAATTTTAACTGTTGTTGATGAGAGATGACTTGTCTTAAATAAAGATAATAAGGAGTCAGATCTTTACGAGGCTGTTCCCCAAACACTTCAAATCTGGTAGATGCAATACCTACTACAGAACTGAACTGGAATACAAACAACAAGAACAACAACAAAAACAACAACATCGCCTGACTGGACCACTATCATTAAGTATATCTTGGGAAGGCTCAGGCAACAGGTAGCCATGACAAAGAGCGTAAATAAAATATAACAGCTATAGCAGGGGTCTACTGAAGACTCCTTAGCCTGGCTAAAAAGAATATACCAGAGTTACAGATAGTACAGATAGTACCTTGACAATGAGGCCCCTGAGTATGCATGAATTTTCAATATGACCTACATACATTAAACAAAAAGCACTCCTGACATCAGGTGTGAGCTTTAAAAGATTAAAGGAGCCATGGGTATAAACCCTTCTCAGCTGGTCTTTAATGACCAAGAAATTAAAAGGGCTAAGCAGGTCATCATCTTCACTCAAAACTAGGAGCCTAATACTGGGTGCTTAACCTGAAAAAGAAAAAGGACCTTAGTTAAAGACTAATGCACATATTGTAAAGAAAATCAGCATTGGAAGAAACACTGTCCCAAACTCTTTTTATTTTATTTATTTTTTGGTAATAGTGATTGATTCCAGGGGTGCTTTAACCACTAAGCCATATCCCTAACCCTTTTCTGTTTTTTATTTTGAGACAGGTTCTTGCTAAATTGCTTAGGGCCTAAGTTGCTGAGGCTGGTCTTTAACTTGCAATCTTCCTGTCTTAGCCTCCCAAGTCACTGGGAATACAAGTGTGTGCCACCACACCCAGCTCCCAAATTCTTATTTTTTATTTTTTTTTGGTCTAAATTCTGAAGTAATCAGCTCAATGAAGAACAAAACCATCAGATGGTGACTTTACTGAGGACTAAGGTACCCTAGGAGTTCCCATAACCCTTTGGGTCCAATCATTATCTCTTCATAGGAGTCCCAGGTATAAATGCCAGTAGGAACAAACCCTTAACCTTCCTGATTGACATGGGCTCTCCTCTTTCAGTCTTGCTGATCCCCTGACAAAGAAATAAGATTGTGTGCCTATTATAGGAGTACAAGGAAAACTCTGAGAACAGGTTTTCCTGCAGCCTCTGGAATACAGCTTAGAAGACTTACACTTAACAGTTTTCTTCAATGCCCAGTTTCACTCCTAGGCAGGGACTTGCTCTGCAAACTAAATGTCTACATAAGCCTTTCCCTGGGAAAAATAGCAAATTCAAGTGCAAATCCCATTCTGAGTAGGCACTTTACCTCTAGCTGATGTTGATCCAAGAGAAGCTATTTGAGAGTGAGTCAATATCCCCAGAATTCCACCAACATATTATTCAAGAAATATGGGCTGATGGTGCATTAGGCAGAGCTAAAAATGCCTTGCCCATTAAGATCGTCCTAAAAGGAGGTACACCAACTCCTGCCTTAAAACAATAACTCCTTATGATGGAGACACTTGAAAGAGTTCAACCTATACTCTAAAAGTTTTTAAAGTATGGTGTGATCAGCCTTTGTACTGCTGGCAAAGAAATCTTGATTTGAGGAATATTGCTTTGTTCAGGATCTGCAGGCTATTAATGAAAACATCCAAGACATTCACCCAACAGTGTCTAATACTTATATCCTTCTAAACGCCTTTCCTGGCAAAGTACAAATAATTTATTGTCTTTGATTTAAAAAATGCTTTTTTTGCATTGCTCTGCAAAGAGCATATTTTTTTGCCTTTGAATGGACACATCCCTAATCAAAAGCCACCCTTCAATACTGTTGGGCAGTGCTTCCTCAAGGATTGAAAAACTTGCCCACGATCATTGGAGATATATTGGCTAATAATTTAAGAATGTTACAACTAAACCAGGGAACACTACTACAATATGTAGATGACTTGTTAATCACCAGTCTGACTTTTCTTTCTTTCTTTTTTTTTTTATTGGTTGTTCAAAACATACCAGTCTGACTTTTCAACTTGCTTAGGGCCTAAGTTGCTGAGGCAACTGTCCAGACTCTAAACTGCTTTGCTGAGTATGGAGACAAAGTATTTTCCCTCTGAAGTGCAGGTTTGCAATGAGTTATTTACCTAGGGTTCCAATTATAGCAAGGTCAATGAAGCCTAGTGGATGACCAAAAGAAGGCTTTATTGCTCACATCCAAGCCCCTTCAGCACAACATTAAGTTATGAGAATTCCTGGAGATGACAGGGTATTGTAGAATATGGATACCTAAATTTGGGCCTATAACAAACCCTTTATATAAAGCTGTACTTAGAACAGATCTTGAATCCTTGATCTGGAAAATAGAATGTCAAACTGCTTTCAAAGTCCCTCTGGGTTGTCCAACCTAGAGAAGCCCTAAACTTAAATGTTGTATGTACAAAATGCACAAAATTGGTTTGGAATTCTTAACAATTACTGGAGGAAGTTCCCCAATTTGAAGCTTACTTTTCAAAACAATTAGATCACACAGCCAAGGGATGGCCCTCTTATCTCCTGGCAGTGGCAGCCACTTATGATTTGCTAAAGGACGCTGAAAAGTTTACACTTGGACAGCTTGTATGTACCATAACCAGGTCCTAACTTTGTTGGACCAAAACCGAAGGATATTGGCTAACGAAGGGAAGGGTGGGTAAATATCAGGCTATCCAGTTAGATGAACTAAATGTGACCCCAAGCAATATCAGCTTTAAACCTGGCTACCTCATGCTGTCAGTCTTTCATTCCAAGTTCCCTACATCCAGCTCTGTTAGTCAGAATTACCTACAGAAGAAATGATTACCCATTTCCTTTGAAATGGAAAGGGAACTTACTGGGGAATTGTAGGAGGACTCAATTTTCACCTAAATGACAACATTTTGTCTCTCTGACCTGCCTTTTTTGAAGTTTTTCTTTTCCTCAGTTTGCCTTAAATTCTAGGATCATCAGTCTGATAAAAAACATCCTGGAAAGCAAATGGAGTGTGCTCCTTCTAAGATCATAGGCCTGAGAGATAAATATCCTATGAAGCAAATGGAAATAACCTTATGAGTTTCTGAAACTCCTACACATGGAATGAAGACTCTCTCATTGATAAGTTTTGGTGTGCTGTGCAAACTCCCAATTTACACCTTTATTCTTTTCCTCTACTTATAACCCAAGATGGCTACTGACACCCCAAAGATAGCTCTTAGATCTGTCTTCCCAGTGTGACACACTGAAAGTAAAATTCTATTTCCTGCTGGTTTGTTGGAACCTCTGGTGTCAGGCCAAGACCTAGGACTCAATAACAGTGTAACATATCAGAAAAGCTGTAGCCAGAGCTTTTTGATTGGTAAAGTACTAAAAATCTATAAATCCCTGTTATAGTTACATAATAAAGGAAGTCAAATCTAGATTTTTTTTTTATAGTGAGAAAAATATTAGCATTTGACAAAACAATTCTCTTGTTAGATTTAGTGCTTTCAACTTTATATTTAATTGCTTAAACTATGGGTAGAATAAAAGTCTTATGCCAATGTCTCAAAGATGTTACTGGCATAGTATAAAGTACTTAATTTTATCCTAATGACTGCAAAAGCAAAAATATTTTCAATTTATTCAAGGGTAAGTGAAGTGCATATCAGATACTGTTCCCCACTTTGGTAAATGTATACTTAAACAAGATTTTATTCTCTTCCAAAAATTAATACCAATGTAAAATTTAGGGCTAAATTTTTCTACAGGGACAAGTACTGAAAAGAGCAAGTTTGATCTTTGTTTTGAGAGAAAACATCAAGAAAAAGAGCAAATTTTGAGCCAATTCTGAATAAATGAGGCCAAATGAATAAAAACTGAAAGGTAGAAAGGACAGCATAAATAAGGCAGAAAAGAGTGGTGAAATCAGCCCAATAGCAGAGGATAAAATTCAATGGCAGGGGAATAAAAACACGTTCACAAAAGTTCTTTTTAAAAACTTTTAAATAAATGTTAATAGCAGCATTATTAATAATAGCCCCAAACTAGAATCAACCTAAATTTCATCAACTGATGAATAAAAAAGTGGCATAATCATATAACAAAATATTACTTGATGAGAGAAAGAAATGAAGTACTGACACTTGCTATAACAGAGATGGATTCTGAAAACATTATGCTAAATGAAAGAAGCAAGTCAAAAAGGATTTGGCTGGGCGTAATCCTAGCAGCTCTGAAGGCTGATACAGGAGGATTTGAGTTCAAAGCCAGCCTCAGCAATTTAGCAAGGCCCTAAGCAACTCAGTGAGACCCTGTCCCTACTCTTACTAAAATACAAACAAAATAAAACAAAACAAAACCAAAAACAAAAATGGGCTGGGGATGTGTCTCACTGGATAAGTGCCCCTGAATTCAATCCCTGGTGCCAAAAAAAAAAAAAAAAAAAAAAAAAAAAGACTAAATATCGCATGACTCTATTTATGTGAAACGTCCAGAACAAGGTAATTAGATTAGTAGTTTCTCAGGACTGGGGAAGATGAAGGGACTGGGGGGTGGGGGTGATAATAGCTAGGAAATTTGGGGTTTCTGTTCAAGTTGATGAAAATGTTCTAAAATTGCATGGTAATACAACTCTGAATATATTAAGAGACTATAAATTTTATGATTAAAATTGGTGAACTGTATGGTACGTTGTTATATCTCAATAAAGATGCTTTTTAAAAAATCCAAAGGCAGAATCTAGATAATTTTCTTATTCTCTACTTTGGATACAAATTCTATACATGATTTGAATATTTCTATGATTTTATAATGTCTAAAATGAAAGAAACTGAGGGAAATGCCTAATGTTTCAAATAATTTTAAGATTAATCTAAAACTTTTGCATTTTTGAGAAAAGTATAATGGCTTTTCTGTGCAAATCATCTTGAAATCCACAAAATAAATACATACAGATTCTGTATCTATTCACAACAGGGAAGAAATAAGGTAATTTTCTAAAACATTCCATTAAACATTATTCTCTGATTTAATCTGCCTCACCTCAGAATGGCAATAATCACTAAAAAAATACTATTTAAGAGAAATATGTCTCTCTCAACTTCTGTGATGTATGATGTAAAATTCTCAAATTTCCTAAGGGTAAATATTTTAAGGAAAGATGTATGAAGTTATAAGAATGCAAGTTAGAATTTAAGAAATAATTGCATTACAAAGATACTAAAATTGTAATAACATTAATTATAATGAAAAGAGAAAAGCTTGTTCGCTGGAATTAGTATCACAAAACACTTTTAAACTGTCAATTAACTACTGACATGTTAAATTTCATACGTACTTGACTTCTTATTTGAGCTAGTTTTTTCTTTAAATCCTGTGTCTCATCCTCCAAACTAATGCGATAACGTGATGAAACTTCTAGTGAAGCCTCTGACATAGATTGTTTTTTCAGGGTATCAGCCAGTTCTTGTTGAAGTTGTCTCACAACTGCCTGATAAGATATTTCTATTACTGATTTTATAAATCACATTAGTATTAAATTATATTAATAAAATATCACCACAACTCACCTTTCTCTCAAGTGTGTATGTACTTCTGTTTATTACTGAATTCAATTGTGTATGCGGAAGGCATGGTCTTCCTGCCTAATACTATTCTATTCCCTTTATATTAGATTCAGTCTTCTATCCACTCTTCCCCTGATGAAGTTTTAATTTAAAAACATACTGAAGTCTCAAAAAGAAATAGGTACACGGGCAGAAACGGTGGTGATGAGTTTTTACACAGTGTGACATGCTCCTCCTTTTTTATTAGAGGCACAATAAAATTCAGGGTTCCTCACATATTCAATTCTTTGCTTGAATCCTTCCAATAGATTATTTTTCCTTCTTCCCTCCCTCCCTCCCTTCCTTCCTTCTTTCCTTCCTTCCTGCCACCAAGGATTGAATCCAGAGGCACTTAACCACTGAGCCACATCCCTACCTTTTATATTTTTACTTAGAGACAGAGTCTCCCTAAGTTGCTTAGGGCCTTGCTAAGTTGCTAAGGCTGGCTTTGAACTTTCAATTTCCCTGCCTCAGTCTCCTGAGCCAATGAGGTTACAGGTGTGCACCGCTGTGCCTGGCTTAAAACATGTTGGGCTGGGGATGTGGCTCAAGCGGTAGCGCGCTCACCTGGCTTGCGTGCGGCCCGGGTTCGATCCTCAGCACCACATACAAACAAAGATGTTGTGTCCACCAATAACTAAAAAATAAATATTAAAAAATTCTCTCTCTCCCCCCCTCTCTAAAAACAAACAAACAAACAAACAAACAAACAAAAACATGTATATAATTTGTAATGATAAGATTAGGTCATTGGCATACTCAACACCTCAAACATGAACCATTTCTTTGTGCTGGAAATCAAGGCTATCCTATATTTCCTGGAACCAAGATATGTTTTTGAGCTGATATAGCAAATAAATTTATAATCTATATATTTTTATATTCAACTATATTAAACATCTAGCCATAGTGAAATAATATTTTTTGAGTTTTTTTTCAGGAAATTTGAAAAATATTCATCTTTCTTAATACTTACTTCTCTTTCTGCTTTTTCATTTTCATATTGATACAGCCTTTCTTTTAAATGATTACATTCATTGATTAACTCCTTATTTCTGTCTTCTAGCATGAGATTTTGTTTTTTACTCTCAGCTTGAAGTTTCTTTACAATGTCATGAAATTGGTCTTGGATATTAATTACTGTCTTTTCTTTATTGTCAGCTTTGTTTTGAGCATCATCTAATTGTTGTCGAAGCAATGTATTTTCACTTTGTAGTTGAGATAATCTCTCCTCTAAAGATTCTTGCTTACCAACATATTTATTCACCTTACATTGTTCATTTTGATACATACATTCAATTTCCTTCATTTGGCCCTGTGTTTGGTTTAGGTCCCTTTGTACCTGTTCTAAAACCAAAGTCTTTTCTCTAAGAGCATCTTTTGTATGGTGGAGTTCAATTTCTAGACTATTGAATTTTCTTTCAGCTTTCGAAAGCTGTTGGGAAAGAATCTCATTGTTATCTTTTAGATTAGATATACTGAAATTCATCTTATCCTGTAAACGAAAACACTCATCTCTTGATCTCTGGAAAGCAAGTTCTAGGTCTCTTTTTGATGCCTGACTTTCATCATAATCATGGATAGCAGCAGCCAGTCTAGAACGGTATGATTCAACTTCTATTTCCAGTCTTTCCTTGTTTTGTTTTTCATTCTCCAGTTTAGAATTTAGCATTGTATTCTGAGCTGTCAGGATACTAAGCTGTCCATTATATTGGAGTACTGTTGTTGTAAATGTTTCCTCATTCAGTTTTATTGTCTTTTGAAGGTTATCATTCTTTTCATTTGCAATTTCAACATCCTCAAGATATTTCTTTTCCTTTTCCTGGTTCTGATTTTTTATTGTGTCTATTTCTAGTCTTATCATGGAGATTTCTTTCTGCAAACTGTGACTTTTATGCAGTAAATTTTTTTCTTTTTCATGACTAATAGAAACCTAAGTTTAAAAAAAAAAGGAGACAGGTATTACTCAATGAAATGACATATCACAATGTGTTCTGAAATTAAATAACAACCTGCCTATTTATATAATGAAAGAGTTGCAATCAATGGATAACCAAAAAAAAACTTGTTCTAAACTTCAAACCTTGAAGCTCCCGTTCGCCTGCTTCTCGCAGACAAACTGCTGTGACTCAGCACTAAACAATCCCGCTGAAACAACTGGTCGGCCCTTCTGCACCTACGGAGGTAAATGCCAACCGAGCCTTCATAGGCAGTGGCCACAGGATTGAAACAGGGCTTGGAAGAGCCAGTCAGAACCCACCCATTGCATTGGTCACCCAGCAAAGGGAAACGAACTGTCGCCATTTGCATGGGATACCACCATGGCAGAGAACTGACGTCACAAGAATGCGGCGGAGGAGATAACTTCATTGAAACCAGCGGCGACAGGTGTGTAACCCGCTAGCCTTCCCTCTCCTCACAGCGGGGAAACCTTAAGGGCCCCTCCCAGCTCTCCCGTGAACGCGATAGCCAGAACAAGGGAATCAGGAGTGGCGCGGGACCCGCGGCGCGGAACTCCCGGCTACCGCTCCCACCAGTGCTGACAACTGAGGTCTCTTGCACCAGCTACCAGGGGAGTGGCTACCGGAGGGCAAGCAAATTTTGCTGAGCGTTCTCAGCCCCAAGCTCTACAAACTTAGGGTCTAAGGGAATGGCAAACAGGGAGAGTGTGCCCAGTTGTTCATTAAAACAGGGCTTCCGGGAGCAGCAGACCTGGCGTGTAGCCAGTGTTGTGGTGAGCGTCACCGGTGAGCGGGGCCTGGCTTGAGGAAAAGTGGGGAAGTGACTAGATACAAGAGAAGGCCCTAGGCACTCAGGATTGGAGACCCGCCCAGTCTGGGAGGAGAAGCTGCTGCACAGTGATTGGTTCCCGCGTATTGAGAGGAGAAGCATGGCCCGGTGGGCACAGCTCCACCTACTGGAAGAGAAGTTAATCAAACTCTAAGACTGCATTTATTAATTTTTTTTTAATTTGGGTTTTTTTCACTTTCATTTTTTTGTTGTTGTTTTTAAAATTTCTTTTTTTTAAAAATTTTTTTATTCTTTTTAAATTTAAATTTTTATTTTTTTAATTATTTTTTTAAATTTTTTTTCTTTTTTTATTTTCTATTTTTTTTCTTTTGTCTTTTCAATTTTCTTATTCCCCCTTCCTTGAATTCTACCTGCTTACTCTCATTCTCTTTAGTGACTTCTTCCCTTCCCTTCTAATACCTTTCATCCCAAGCATCAAATAAATTAATAGGAGTAAACAGTAACTCAGCAGTCAAACAGATCAAGAAGTAACATGAGCAGCATGAAAAAGCAAGGAAGAAAAGGAGTACAAACAATGCAGGACAGCCTAAATATTCAGGAGGACCTAGAGTCATCAGAAAAATGGTCATATAAAGAACTCAAGGAATACCTTAGACAGATGGAATGGAACCTTGAAGAGGATATGAGACAGCAAATTCAAACAGTGAAAGAACACACTGAAATTGAATTACATAAACATATAAAAGAAGAAGTTAAGCATCTTTATCAGGAGATAGAGATTATAAAAAAAATCAAACAATAATTCTAGAAATGAAGGAAATGATAAACCAAATTAAAAATTCAATTGAGAGTATCACTAACAGAGTGGAGCAAGTAGAAGCCAGAACGTCAGATAATGAAGACAAAATATATCATCTTGAAAAGAGTCTAGCCAACTCAGAAAGACTGGTAAAAAATCACGAGAAAAACTTCCAAGAGATATGGGATAACATAAAAAAACCAAACTTAAGAGTCAGCGGGATAGAGGAAGGTTTGAGATTTAAACCAAGGGAATGAGTAACCTGCTGAATGAAATAATTACAGAAAGCTTTCCAGAAATAAAAAAGGAAACGGATATACAAATTTTAGATGCATACAGGACACCGAGCATACAAAATCACAGTAGACCAACGCCAAGACACATTGTTATGAAGATATCCAATATACAGAACAAAGAGAAAATATTAAAAGCTACAAGAGAAAGGAGGCAGATTACATTCAGGGGTAAACCAATAAGGTTAACAACAGATTTTTCATCACAGACGCTGAAAGCGAGAAGATCCTGGAACAACGTATTTCAAACACTGAAAGACAATGGATGCCAACCAAGAATTCTGTATCCAGCAAAATTAAGCTTCAGGTACGACAATGAAATAAAAATCTTTCATGATAAACAAAAGTTAAAAGAATCTGCAGCCAGAAAACCAGCACTGCAAAGCATCTTGAGCAAAACACTACATGAGGAAGAAATGAAAAACAATAACCAAAACCATCAGTGGGAAGTGCCTCAGTAAAGACAGAGGGCGGGTGGAAAGCTAATCATGGAGAAACAAACTAAATTAAAAAAAAAAAAAGATAAATAATCAAAGTTTATTGAAGTACAAACCATATATCAATAGTAACTCTAAATGTTAATGGCTTAAACCCTCCAATAAAGCGAAATAGGCTGGTAACATGGATTAAAAAAACAAATCCAACAATATGCTGCCTCCAGGAGACACATCTGATTGCAAAAGACATACACAGGCTGAAGGTGAAAGGTTGGGAAAAAATATACCACGCACACGGTCCTCGTAAGCAAGCAGGGGTGGCCATCCTCATATCGAATAAAATCGACTTCAAGACTAAGTTTAATCAAAAGGGATAAGGAAGGACATTATATACTGTTAAAAGGAACCATTCACCAACAAGACATAACAATTATCAATATTTATGTACCAAATAATGGTGCTGCGACGTTCATAAAACAAATTCTCCTCAAGTTCAAGAATCAAATAGACCACAACACAATAATTATGGGTGACTTCAACACACCTCTCTCACCATTGGACAGATCCTCCAAACAAAAGTTGAATAAAGAAATTATAGAACTCAATATCACAATCAATAACCTAGACTTAATTGACATATATAGAATATATCAACCATCATCAAGTGGATATACTTTTTTCTCAGCAGCACATGGATCCTTCTCAAAAATAGACCATATATTATGCCATAGGGCAACCCTCAGTAAATATAAAGGGGTGGAGATAATACCATGCATTTTATCTGATCATAATGGAATGAAACTGGAAATCAATGATAAAAGAAGGAAGGAAAAATCCTACATCACATGGAAAATGAACAATATGTTACTGAATGATCAATGGGTTACAGAAGACATAAAGGAGGAAATCAAAAAATTCTTAGAGATAAATGAAAATACAGACACAACATATCGGAATCTATGGGACACAATGAAAGCAGTTTTAAGAGGGAAATTCATCGCCTGGAGGTCATTCCTCAAAAAAAGGAAAAACCAACAAATAAATGAGCTCACACTTCATCTCAAAGCCCTAGAAAAGGAAGAGCAAAACAACAGCAAATGTAGCAGAATTCAAGAAATAATTAAAATCAGAGCGGAAATCAACGAAATTGAAACAAAAGAAACTATTGAAAAAATTAACAAAACTAAAAGTTGGTTCTTTGAAAAAAATAAATAAGATCGACAGACCCTTAGCCATGCTAACGAAGAGAAGAAGAGAGAGAACTCAAATTACTAACATACGGGATGAAAAAGGCAATATCACAACAGACGCTACAGAAATACAGAAGACAATTAGAAATTATTTTGAAAACCTATATTCCAATAAAATAGAAGATAGTGAAGTCATCGATAAATTTCTTAAGTCATATGATTTGCCCAGACTGAGTCAGGAGGATACACACAATTTGAACAGACCAATATCAATGGATGAAATAGAAGAAGCAATCAAAAGACTACCAACCAAGAAAAGCCCAGGACCGGATGGGTATACAGCGGAGTTTTACAAAACCTTTAAAGAAGAATTAATACCAATACTTTTCAAGTTATTTCAGGAAATAGAAAAAGAGGGAGCTCTGCCAAATTCATTCTATGAGGCCAACATCACCCTGATTCCAAAACCAGAGAAAGACACCTCAAAGAAAGAAAACTATAGACCAATATCTCTAATGAACCTAGATGCAAAAATCCTCAATAAAATTCTGGCAAATCGGATACAAAAACACATCAAAAAAATTGTGCACCATGATCAAGTAGGATTCATCCCTGGGATGCAAGGATGGTTCAATATACGGAAATCAATAAATGTTATTCACCACATCAATAGACTTAAAGATAAGAACCATATGATCATCTCGATAGATGCAGAAAAAGCATTCGACAAAGTACAGCATCCCTTTATGTTCAAAACATTAGAAAAACTAGGGATAACAGGAACTTACCTCAACATTGTAAAAGCTATCTATGCTAAGCCTCAGGCTAGCATCATTCTGAATGGAGAAAAATTGAAGGCATTCCCTCTAAAATCTGGAACAAGACAGGGATGCCCTCTATCACCACTTCTATTCAATACAGTTCTTGAAACACTGGCCAGAGCAATTAGACAGACGAAAGAAATTAAAGGCATAAAAATAGGAAAAGAAGAACTTAAATTATCACTATTTGCGAATGACATGATTCTATACCTAGAAGACCCAAAAGGGTCTACAAAAAATAAAAAACTACTAGAACTAATAAATGAATTCATCAAAGTGGCAGGATATAAAATCAACACACAAAAATCAAAGGCATTTCTGTATATCAGCGACAAAACTTCTGAAATGGAAATGAGGAAAAACACTCCATTCACAATATCCTCAAAAAAAATAAAATACTTGGGAATCAACCTAACAAAAGAAGTGAAAGATTTATACAATAAAAACTACAGAACCCTAAAGAGAGAAGTAGAAGAAGATCTTAGAAGATGGAAAAAAATATACCCTGTTCATGGATAGGCAGAACTAACATCATCAAAATGGCGATATTACCAAAAGTTCTCTATAGGTTTAATGCAATGCCAATCAAAATCCCAACAGCATTTCTTGTAGAAATAGATAGGAAAAATAAAAGACCCATAA